GCAAGAAGCCCTGGGCTTCCTCCCACCCACTGCAGCAAGAGAGTGAAGAGGGTTAGAGCTGAGGAGACGGTCCAGAGGCCAAAACACTTTCTGTGCCAGCCTGAGTACCTAAGATTGGACCTCAGCCCCTACTCGGGTATGTGTCTATACACTGCTGAGATGTGTGTCTGTGTCAGTGCTGAGGTGTGTGTGTCAGTGCTCTGGGGGGCAGAGAGGCAGATCCCGGACTCTGACTGACCCATGCAGTATAAACGCAGAACTCCGGTTCCTGTGTGAGACTGTCTCAGAAAAATAAGGTAGAGGAGCTAGAGAGACGTTGAGCAGTGCAAAGCTCTTGGCGCTCCTGCAAAGGACACAAGTTTGGATCCGAGAACCTCTGTCAGGTCAGACTCCCTGTAACTCCTCTACAGGGGATCTGGTGCTCCCTTCTGGCGTCCTACGGCACTTGCACAAACATGGCACTTGTACACACACACACACACACACACACACACACACACACACACACAAATAAAAAATGTCAAACATGCCGGGCATGGTGGCAAGTGCCTATAGCCCCAGCACTCAGGGAGGCAGAGGCAGGCAGACCTCTGTGAGTTTGAGGCCAGCCTGGTCTACAGAGTGAGTACAGGACAGCCAGGGCTGCACAGAGAAACCCTGTCTCAAAAAAAAAAAGAAAAAAAAGTCTGATAAAAACCCGTGAAAGCTGCCAACCTCAGTCTTTACATACACACACAGGGGAGCACACCAGCACACATAGGGCCCACATCACATCCTGAAATACACACAGAAGACCAAAGAGAGAAAAAGAGAGGAAAGGACGGGCCAGTGGGCGTCCCGCACAGGAGCGGGCCGTCCACAGGAGCGGGCCGTCCAGGGTGTGCGCACAGCATTGGACCAGGCCTGCCCGGGCTGTGTTCTCAGCAGCTCTTAGTGTCTCCTTCTCCACCTGTCCTCCATTTCCTGGCTCAAGAGGGCTCCCTGGCATTCGGAGAAGGAAGTAGGAAAAATGAAATAGAACCCCTAAACCAGCTAAGAATGGTAACTCACGCCTGTTATTTCCCAGCACTTGAGAGGCTGAGGCAGGAAAATTGCTGTAAGTTCAAGACCAGCCTGGGCTCTAGAATAAGACCCTGTCTCAGAAGCCAAGAACCGGGGCTGGAGAATGGTTCAGTGTTTGAAAGTGCACACTGGGGCTAGAGAGATGGCTCAGTGGTTAAGAGCACTGTCTGCTCTTCTGAAGGACATGGGTTCAATTCCCAGCACCTACATGGCAGCTCACAACTGTCTATAACTCCTGTTCCAGGGGATCGGACCCCCTCACACATGCAAACAAAATATCAATGTACATAAAGTAAATATAAATATTTAAAAAAGGATCTCTGCTCCAAAAAAAAGGAATAAATGTTTAAAAAAAGAGAGAGAGAAAGTGCACACACACACACACACACACACACACACACACACACACACACACACAGAAACACATGAATAAATCAGTGTTTGAAGAAAACACATAGCCCCTCCCCCTCGTAGTCCTCCTGAGAAATGACAGCTGTCTTCCGGATGGGGGATGGGGCGGAAGGACCCAGGTGTCACCCACTTTTCAGCTCCAGTTTGAGCTCGAGCTCAGGGTGCCTGGTCCCGCCTCCTGGGCCCTGCGCTCTCCCTGCTACCTGCTACATTGTTGGCTCAGTGTTGAAGCCACTCTGTTGGATCCCAGTTTCCTCCTGAGTGAGCGGTGTGTGAGAGCTTGCCAATGCCAAGCTGAAAACTGGAGACTAGAAACCGCCTGGAAGGCCTGAAGGCCTGACGGGCCAACTGTTCAAGAGGCAGGGGCAAGAGGATCCCATGTTCAAGGCCAGCCTGGAAAATTTAGCAAGACTATGCCCCCAGATAAAAAGCAAAGAGATGGCCGGAGTGGCTGTGTGTACTTGCGTCAAAGTCTGATGACTTGAACTCCATCCTGGGGACAACATGATGCAAGGAGCGAACTAACTCCATAAAGTTACCCTCTGACCTTCAAAGTGTGTGACATTCACAAGCCCATGCAAGTGCACAAACAGAGAAACAACAAACAGTAAGAATTTTGTAAAGAGAAGGCTGGGGGCACAGCTCAGCAGTAGCCCCCTCCCAGAGGCTGGGGGCGAGGCTCAGCAGTAGGTCACTTGGTGTAGGGTGTGTGGGGCCCAGGGTTCACCATCCAGCACCAGGGAAAAATCGAGCACCTGATTGCTGGGTGCAATTCTCTGCCTTACACCTTCCCCATAGGATGTGTGGAACTCCCTGGGGAGTGCTCACTGAGCCTCCTGGCTAGGGAGGACTATGTCCTTCCAGCTTCGTTCCTTCCAACCTTGCTCATACCCAAATCCAGGGCAGGAGACCTTTTGCTTTCTGAGGTTAATTGCATGTGGATGACTTTAGGCAACCCTCTTAACCTCTCTCTCTCTCTCTCTCTTCTCTCATTCACTCATTGGTTTTTCAAAGCAGGGTTTCTCTGTGTAGCCTGGCTCTCCTGAAGTTCACTCTGTAGACCAGGCTGCCCTTGAACTCACAGAGATCTGCTTGCCTCTGTCTCCTGAATGCTGGGACTAAAGGCTTCTGACTCCATAGCCCAGCCACCTTTTTTTGTTTTTTGCTTTTTAAAGACAAGGTCCTCATGTAGCCCAGTCTGGCCTTGAGCTCACTATGTAGCCAAGGATGATCTTGACCTCTTCATCTTCTCACCCCATCTCCAGAGCACCGGGATCCCTGGTTGCTGTGGTGCAAGGGTTCACGCTAGGCAAGCACTTAGGCTAAGTCATGCCTCCAGGCCTATTCTGTCCTTCACAGTCCTCCAGATCCACGTGAGGCTGTGAGAAATGCGTTCACAAAGAGACACTCGCAGCCAACCCCACTATTTAGAGCCTTGCAAGGGCTGCCCCTTGCTGATTGTCCTAAAGCGTTAAATTAAATACCGGACAAATTAAATCCCGGATAGTTTGTGTTGTCACATGACCCATAATCTAGAAAAGCTATTGGCTCACCTGCTCATGCTTTGGAGGATTAAAAATGGAATCATTTGTTGCTCCTCTGGGGCGTGGTGGGATGAGGTGCTGCCCTTTGCCCAATGGGATTGTGTGGATGGGATGCCCTCTGCCCCCCACACCCGGCCCCTCCTGCAGGCCTGACTCACTCCAAGATCAAAGGTTTCCTAATCTCACTTCACTTCATTCATTCTTGGCCCTTGTTCTGATCTCCTGACAGGCCCGGGACAGGATAGAGCTGAAGATGGATCATAGCAATCTGCATTCTATGGGTCTGTCACCCCCAGTCCCCTCCAGGAGCCCCAAACAGCCAAGGTTTGAAATTCACAATTACATCTCTAACCCCAAGAAGCATTTGGTCAATAAAAGAGAGAGCAGAGGTGGCCAGGAGAGAGGGCAAGCAAAGCACACTGGTCCAGAGGTGGGTTGTGGCCACCAGTGAAGGAAGAGGGAAGGCACAATTGCTCACATGATCGGAGAAAGAGGGGCACCGGGGTGTGGGGAGTAGATGACAGGGCCAGATGGCTTCCACCTCAGACCAGATCCGTCCTTTCCTAGCTCTGGAAATTCTTTGTGAACAAAACAATTCTAAACCTTAAAACATCTTTGGAGGCCATTGCCCTGGGCCCTGGGAAGCCACAGAAGATGCTAAAGCAGGAGAAAGTGGTGGACATGGGATTTAGAAATGAACCTTTCTGGAGTCTCTACAAAAGAAAAAACTGGATGTGCAAAGGTACTGTGGCAGAGAAGAGTGGGGTGTGACCAGGGAACCCGAAGTCGTGGGTGAATGGAATGCCATAGAGGAGGAGAGTGGTGGAGGTAGGGGTGGGGCCAGGAGGGGCCTGGGTGCTGGAGTCATAGTGTGGCTGTCAGGACTGGTGAGGCAGCTCTGGACCTCTGGGGTTGGGGAGGCTGGGACGGCTCTGGAGGGGATGACGAGCCAGGTGTGCTGTGGGGACTGACAGGCCTCGGAGACCCCAGGGGAAGTGGAGAGCAGGGCTGTGAGGACCACAGGCGGAAGAACTGAAGCCTCCATCCAGGGTGACAATACTGAGGTGCTGAGAGAGCAAGTGATGTCGATTTCAGAGAACAGTCATTCCAGAGACTTGGTGGCACAGTTGGGCAGGAGCTCAGAGAAAGGTGCCAGATTGGGGGAGGGTTGAAGAGAGGCCAGAGAAGAGAATGTTCAACCAGGGATGCTGGGAAGCTTGTCCAGCTCACACAGCAAGCAGGACTCAACCACCTGGTCCCCAGAGCCTGGGTTCCTCTATGCCTCTCCACACCCTGGTTCTTGGCTGAGGCAGGGGAAGGGAGGACTTGGAACAGTACCATATTGGAGTGAAGCAACCGGGGAGGAAACAGGGCTTAGCTGTCCCCCTCCTTACAGCGCAGGGTACCAGAGGGTCGTGGGAGGGCAGGGGAGGAGGTAAGACACCAGGGTTGATGGTGAGGCCAGAAGCCCGGGATTTTGGTTTACTCAGATGAGACGTGAAGCAAAGGGAGGGGTGTGGAAAGGCTCCCAAAGGCTTGGGGGTTTTGTAATCAGGACACTTTCCTGCCCAACCTCAGTTTCTCCATCTGGTAAGTGGGTGCTCCGAGTGCCTGACTCCTCTTCAGGGACAGAGGAACTATGCACACTGCCTTCACGAGGAGAGAGGTCGGCCCTAATCTCTCTCAGCCCTCTTGGCGTCCCAGACCCCTTTCCCCCCTGTGAGCATCACACGCTCTGTGATGTCTCCCAAATGGAGTTGGCACAGACGAGATTCAGCTGATCCAGCAACCTTAATTTTTTGCAGCTTCTGGGGACCAGGCTCCCGGTTCCCCTTACCCAATTTAGGTTACCAGAGGCCCTGCCCCCCCCCCCCCCGCCCCAAGACGGAACAACCGGAGCGCAAGAGAGGCTGAATCCAGTGAGGGTCCCTCCCTGGCTACCGCCGGTCCCCTCCCTCCCCTGGCCCTGGCAAGCCGCCTCACCTCATTTCGGAGATAGTGTCCTTAAATGAGCCCCACAGGGCCAGGGGCCGTGGCCCGTCCATGGCGGGCAGGGCAGGAGCGAGCCGGGCGTCGGGGCCAGGTGCGCAGCGTCTGCCGCGCCTCCCGCTAGTGCCAGGTGTCTATCAGGCCGGCCCAGGGGAGGGGCACAGCCGGTTCTCCCAGCTGCTGCCCACGCCTCCTGCCGGCGGCAGGGAGGGAGAGGCTGGTGCCCTCCCAGGGCGAGGGTGGAGGCTCCACAGGACCAGAGTCCAGGGCCAGCCGTGGGGAGTTCCGGCCCCGAGTGGCCACTGCAGCCCAGCCTGGCCGCCCGTCTCCGGCCAGTGGCTCACACGGCTGCGCTTCATTTGGAAACTTTTGCCGAGCGCCTCCTGTCCCTGAGCCGCCGCGCTGAGCACTGGGCAGGCAGAGGAAGAGCAGGATCCACCTCGCGGGCTGGTTTTGTAAGAGGGAGAGACAAGAGACACAGGGATGCAGCCAGGGCGGGACAAAGGGATTGCGGTCGGAAATAAGGAAAGAGATAGCGCGCGCGTCAGAGACTGAAAGAGACAGGGATGCAGAGATACACAGAGAGTCAGGAACACACAGGGACAGCGAGAGACTGGAATATAGAGATGCAAAGACAATGAGAGAGACACAGGGAGAGGCACAGAAGAACAGACTGAGGGAGACCCAGAGGCAGACACACTCTTTTTATCATCTACCTCACAAGGACAGTTCCTGTGTGTCAGCTATAGCTTCCCAGAAAAGTGCTTGGGGTGTCCTAGTCTGTCGCTCACTGCCAGAGACGGGGGAGCAGAGCAAGTGGAGGAGCGCCTCAGGCGGTGGCAGAGGAAGGGCCTCAGGCCACCTGGGGTGGGTGGAGGAGCAGACCCCCCGCCGAGCACCCCCCAAGCCTGCCACCTGCTTTGGTGTGAATACAATTTCTTCTCAGGAAGGGTTCAAGCCGCAAAGTCTTTTGTTGCTGGTATTACGAGGAAACTTAATCCAGCCATGACGTGCAGAGGTGGGGCTTTTGGGAAGTGATTAGGTCACCAAGGTGGAGGGCTCCCCCCAGCATCCAGGTGGCTTTAGGAGAGGAAGACGATCATGGGACAAAGAACTCTGCACTCACACCCGCAGTGAGAGATGCTGGCATGAAACCACATGCATTAGTCTATGTTTAGACCTGGTCCTTCCAGATCTGGGAGCCCAAACCAACTTTTTCTTTGTAAAACACTCTGCCTCCAGTATTTTCTTACATTAATGAAAGCTGATTAATACACCTCCACCTAACCATCCACTCATCCATTCACAAATCCACCCCCTCACACACACATTCATCCTCCCACTCGTCCATCCACCCTCCCCCTCTCCATCATTCATCCATCCACTTACACTCCAATATGTCCAGCCCTGTTCATTAATCTGTGCATCCACCCACTCCTCCACCATCTGTCCATCCATCAGTGTGTGCACCTCACATCCGCACGACATCCACCCACCCATCCATTCCTTCCTCTACCAAGCCATCCATGTACCCATCCATCCATATTGATTCACTCATTCACATATCTACCAACTTATTCATTCATTCATCTGCACTCTGCCCATTTACCCTCCACCCCTCCATCTATCCACCTGCCCATCCAGCTCCCACCCATCCAATCATAGATCTACTAACACTTCAGTCTATCTACTCATCCATCCATCCAAGAATCTACTCACCCATCTACATAGCCACCTACTCGCTCACCATATATTCATACCTCCATGGATACACCCGTCTACTCATATACCCATTTTCTCAGTCCTTCCGTGACTCTACCACTCCACCCACAGACCCTTCACCCACACACTGATTCCACCCATCCATACATTCACCATCCATCTATCCATTATCGTTTCATATATCCAACCGTCCACCTAGCCATCCAGCCGTCTACCTAGCCACTATCCATCCATCCATCCGTCCGTCCATTCATCCAACCATCCACTTGTCCATCCATGCACTCACTGATCCATATGTGCAGCCACCCACCAATGCATCCATTTCTTCACCCATCCATCTACCTGCCCTTGATGCATCTCTCTCTCTCTACCCATGTGCCCATTCATCTATCCACCCATTTCCCCACCAAGCCCTTTTACCCATTCATCCGTTCATCCACTCAACCACCTGTCAATAAATCAATCCATCTACTCACTGACTTATCCACCCATCTATCCTCCCACTCACCCATCCATCTAATCACCTACTAAGCAAGGAACCCACCAACCCATCCAATCATCCATTCGTCCACTAACTGATTCATGTGATACCACAAATTCTCATCCGACCATCTTCCCATCATGTGTCTATTTACCCAGACAGACATACACCCAGCAACCAGTCTGACCACCTCTGCTCCCTTGCACACCCACCCACGTACACACCGTCCACTTCCTTCACCCATCCACTCCAACGCACCATATCCATCCATCCATCCTCCATCTTTCCATTCACTTATCGATCCATCCACATACCCACTCACCCACCGTCCATCCACCTGACCATCTTTGCACTCACCCATCCGGTCACAGACCCACGCATTGATCTGCCACCATTCATTTAGATATTGATATTTTTTAAATTTTATTTCATTCGCATGGCTGTTTTGTCTGCATGTCTGTCTGTGCATCACGTCTATGCCTGGTACCCAAGGAAGCCAGAAGAAAGGATCAGATTCCTGGAAACTGGAGTTATAGGTGGTTGGAAGCCATCGGGTGTGCTGGGAATTGAAGCTGGGCCCTCTGGGTGCTCTTTCCTGATGAGCCATCTTTCTATTCCTAGAGGGCCATCTTTCAGTTTATCAATCCACCCCCCCCCACACACAGCCAGCCAGCCATCTATCCATCAGCTCATCCCATCCACGCATTCACCCACCTCTCTACCCAAATTGATCTGTCCATCATTCGTCCACCTGCCCTCCTGTTCAGCTAGTCTTTGGAGAGGCCTGTAGCAACTCAGGTAAGTAAACATGGCTTTGAGCCAATCTCGATGTTTAGACCTAGAAATGAAATTCATGTGCCTAAGAAAGTAAAAATGTTCAATTTGAATTCCTTTCAATTAAAAAAAAATTTTTGGTGCAGGGTTTCTCTGTGTAGCCTTAGCTGTCCTGAACTCACTTTATCGACCAGTCTGGCCTCAAACTCACAGAGATCTGCTTGCCTCTGCCTCCCTGAGTGCTGGGATTACAGGCATGCGCCACTGCGACCAACTCCTTTCAATTAATTTAAATAGCAGAAGGCTTTGGTGAAATTACATGCCAATTAAACCATTGAAAATTGGGCACTGGAATTGAAAATACAAGACTTGTAAAATATCTCAACAAATTTGTTATGAATTGCATGATTAAATGAAATAAATTACATTTCCAAAATTAATTTTACCCATCTTATTTTCAATCTTTAAAAATAATCCTAAAATATTTTTATTTTTTAAGTTATATATGTATGTGTATGTCTGTGTTCTGTATGTGCGTGAGAGCACAGGAAGAACCCAAGGAGGCTAGAAGAGGGCACTGGATCCCCTGGAACTGCTGTTGGGTGCTGGTGCAGGGGACTGACCGCCAGTGGTCTGCAGGAGCAGGATGGACTCTTTACTGCTGAGTTTTTCTCCATCCATTTCACTTCTTTAAAAAATACAACGAGATGCTGCTGCTGAGATGGCTCAGTGGTTAAGAGCACACATTTAATCCAGTGTGCAAAAGGCAGAGGCAGGGGGAGCACTCGGAGTTTGAGCTTAGCCTGTCTCCCGTCTGCATAGCCAGTTCCAGGACCACACACAGAAACTCTGTATAAAAAAAAAGGAGGGAAGGAGGGGGGGAAGGCAGGCACTCATTGGTCTTGCAGAAGACATGAGTTCTAGTCTCAGCACCTGTCAGGTGATTCACAACCACCTTTAACTCCAGCGTCCCAGGGGTGAGCACTCATGAACACAACTAATTAAACCTAAAGATAAAATATGTTTAAAGGAATTAGAAACATGATGGGGAGATGCCCATCTGTGAGCTCACGCTGCAGAGGCTGGAGCAGGGGCTTCAGGGTTTGAAGTCAGTCTTGCTATACAGAGTGAGGCCCTGTCTCAGACGTGATCACAAAGCCTTCAAAGGTGTGTGATGGGAGCAGAAGGGAATCTGCCTCAGCGGGTAAAAGCACTAGCTGCTCTTAAAGTAGAACCCAGGTTCAATTCCCAGCACTGACATGAATGAAAGTTCACAACCTCCCGCAACTGTAGTTCCAGGGAATCGCATGCCCTCTTCTGACCTCTGAGGACACCAGGCACAGACATGGTACACACATACTCACATACGTAAAATAAAACAGAAAGATTTCAACACAGGGTTTCTCTGTGTAGCCCTGGCTGTCCTGGAACTTGCTCTGTAGACAGGCTGGCCTCGAACTCAGAGATCTGCCTGCCTCTCCCTCCTGAGTGTTGGAGTGCTGGGATTAAAGGTGTACACCGCCACTGCCCAGAGCAGAAACTACTTTTAAGTTAGGACAGATAACATGAGGAGGACATGAGTGTGTGTGTCAGAGAAAGCTCCGTGGGCTGCAGCGATGGCTTGAGGGTTAAGAGCACTTGCTGTTCCTGCAGCAGCCCGGGCTTGTTTCTCAGCATCACTGCAACGGCAGCTCTGCGGGATCTGACGGCCTTGTTGACCGTGGAGGGACTGCCTGCCCACGGTGCGCAGGCGGGCAGGCAAGACATCCATACACATAATTTTATTTATTTACTTGTTTTGTTTTTTTCAAGACGGTTTCTCGGTGTAGCCCTGGCTGTCCTGGAACTCATTCCAGGCTGGCCTCGAACTCACAGAGATCCACCTGCCTCTGCCTCCCGAGTGCTGGGATGAAAGGTGTGCACCACCACCACCCGGCTATAAATAAATCTTAAAAAAAAAAAAGTTGAGTGATGGATCAGCTAGGAAATAGTTCAGTCTGTGAAGTGCTTTTGCTGTGCAAACATGAAGACCTGAATTTGGCCCCTCAGAACCCAGTAAAAAGCCAGGGACGGTGCATGCCTGGAACCCCAGCACTTGGATGGCATGGCTTGGGCATGCCGATGGATCAGCCAGTCAGGCCTCACCAGTGAGC